CTTCTCCCAACGTTCCTATCCTCTCTCACTCTCCTATCCTTACTTTTTCATGCTTCTATCTTTTCTACCTCTCTCGCTGTCCTGTCCTTTTCACTATTTCTACGTCTCTATCACTTTACTTTCTCTCTCACTCTTCTATCCTCCCCATCTCTTCTTCACTACTTTCTTTCTCACTTTTCTCACTCTTTCACTTTCCTGTCCTTCTCACTCTTCCTTTCTCTCACTCTTCTATCCTCCTTTCTTCACATTTTTACTTTTACTTTACTTAACTCTCTCTTTTTTTCTTCTAACTTTTCTTCTTCTCTTACTCTTCTCTCTATTGCTTTCCATGCGTTCTTTCCCCTTGTTTTCCATCTTCCCTCTCTCTTTCTTCTTCCCGTACTTTCATACTCCCTTCCTCACATTCCTCCCATTTTTACACTTGAATGCTTATTTCCTCCCTTCCTCACTCCTCCTTCCATCCTCCTAGTTACCGGCACAGAGAGGAAGAGGAAATCTGAGGCGTGGACAGATTTGGCTGCAGATACACGACAAGGGAAGTGTTTATTCTTTGGGATTTACAGTTTGGCCTTCAGTTCAGTGTAATGGGGTGTTTGTTGTAGATTTTCAGGTCTTATACATTCTGATACATTTACTAAAGGAGTAAAGACTGTTCATGGAGCTTAGTAGGTAAGGCAAAGCTGTGTTCACCTCAATCAACCAATCATACTAACATTGACTTTGCTAAGTCTCGTGCTTTAGTAAAACAACCCAACCGCGCTCTCAATCGTTTCCTTTGGGTCCCATCACTTTTCTCGGCACCTCAGAGCCCGGCGCTACCCTGCGACCAACACTAACGAAGTGCGTCTGCTGCGGTCTCACCTGAGCTGAAGGAGCGAGAGCGCCTCCTGCTGGCTGTCAGACTCACATCGAACTCTGAATCGGCAAACTTCGGAATGTTGTCTGGTACCCGAGACCTCACCTGACGAGTGTCAGCTCTGCAGCCGCCTGTAGACAGAGGAGGAGGAGTGGAGGGTTTATAGGTGACTTGTCCTGATGAATCCGCTGGTTGTCTGGCCAGATGTCGGCATGTCTACTCACCAGCCGACACACCAAATGGCTCCGGATGTGGCTCGGACCGATGCTCCGCTGGGTCTCTGCCTCGTACTGGTACCGGCTGGCCCAGGTCTGCTGTACAGGAATTCAGCGGGCGGCCTCTGAGTGCAGAAATACAGAGATACGTATTATGAATGCGGCACATCAGTGATCAGTGAATGTTTTCTTAACAAGAGCCCAAATGTGATATCTGGCGACCTGGCGCCATAATGATCACACAGCTGATAATGTATATTATATCTACATGGTCAGAAATGGGCACATCACTCAATCCTGATGGTTCTGGCAATGTCACTGCTCAGGTTCACCAATGCTTCTGCAGATGTCACCCATTTATAAAGAATGGACACCACATTTTTTTTCCAATGGAAATGTCAATGATAATTCACCACAACGCTGACATAATCTATTATTTTCAGTGGCAAGAGGAAAAACTGGTGAAGTGCCAAGGAAGGGGAAAACAACAACAAGCATGTGCAAAAGCTCCGCCCCCGAGGACTCTTCTCAATTAATCTTTCTATCACTTTTTTAGCACTTTTCATGATGAGCTTTTACCACATGGAAGACTGAGGCTGGATCACACCTCTGCATTGTGGTTATGTGCGGCAACACACAAGTCATGAAACTATTTGTTCTGAATGCCACCCCAATGCACATCCTCAACACCCCAAAATGGACCCGCATTTTATTGGGAGCCATCTTTGCAATAAAGGAGAACTATGAGGTGAGTAAAAGTCACCCATCCTCATAGTTCGAGCCGACGTGTGACAATGAAACAGATCGGGAAGTGAGCTCGCTCGCTCACTTCTCTATCTATCCCCGCAGAGAGAGGTGACTGTCAGTCACGGCTTCCAGCAGGGATTCCCCCCGTCCCCTCTCCGATCCTCCAGTGCTGAGTGGAGGAAAGGAGGGGGCGGGTACAGCTGGCTCTGCCTCTAGATAGGCAGAGCCAGCTGTCACTCACGCAACTGGGCGGATCTCTACAGTAATGTCGGGATCCATCCTGGCTGCGGCGGTCTCAGTATACCGCAAGCTGTAGCCCGCTATATACTGAGCTTTGGGTGACGGGAGGACGCTAGTTTATGTCCTCCCGTGACCATTAGCAGAACTATGGGGAACAACACTGACCCCATAGTTCTCTTTAAAGGGTGTGTCAGGTAATCAAAAAATCTGTAGGTGCATCAAAAGCTGTGGTAACACCTCAATGCATGTCAACACATGACAACGCACCACAGAGGTGTAAATCCGGCCTTAGGCAACGTGCGATGGACATTAAAAAACAATTTCTGATCTGTAATTTCGGTATTTCTCCTTCATCATAACATGAGCTCACCGAGATGCGAGATGTGGAGAGCGGTCAAACCCCAGTGGCGGTTCTCGGAGTGGATCTGTGTCTTCAATGCCTGCAGATCAAAAGGCAATACAGTGATCTACTGACCTCCACACCCTGCTCCATCTATACCACCATTTAATGATCCATCCCACCTACACCTGAGATCTCATTGGTTGGCGGATACCAGAGAGATAAACCACCTTATGGCCCCCCATTTTTCTTGAGTGGCCACTACAAGGATTTCCCACCAATCCTGATGGACTTTTCATTTTGTATATTATGGAGAATGTAACATGAGTGGCTGGAACACCCCAAAGTGGGCAAAACAGATGGTGAAATCCCAAGAGATATGAAGTGCCATCAGATATTTCAGATAACCAGACTCCACCTCCAAGTGAAATATCGCCTTGGGTGGCCTGATCATCACACAGTCCAGTAGCCTTTCACTATGTCATTCAATCATCTCTATCCCAGCTTGTCCATCATTCACCCCCTGCGTAGTGTTATATAAGGCGCCTACGTCGCGGGCCCTCACCTGAATTGTGGCGGAGTTTGCACATCCACTCCTGGAGCAGCTCACAAGTCGGGGCCCGGAAGAGGTACTCAGACCCGTCCCTTAATCTGCAGAAAAAAACACACAATTATAGGGCAGAAATGGTGAACAACGTAAGGGGCGGAGTTATCTGACAGTGCTGGGGAGGGCGGAGCAGGCTGGAAGCTTTTTACTCTTTGCACACAGTTGATGGTGTGTTGGTGAGCTGAGAAGAGGAGCTGCGGGGTGTGTGTGCTGCTGAGAGGGCTTGCAAGGCTCCCTGCAGCTCAAGTAATATGCAACCACCTCATCGTGCTCTGCAGACTCTTGATTGGTGGACGGTGCAGTCCACTAATTGCTCTGCATTTCAATCAGGCAACAGCCAATGCAATCACAGAACATGATTGGTGTCTGAGGAGGTGGAGCCTGTACCAAAGAGCACCATTCATTATTCACATCTGGGCAATTGGAAGCTTGTTGGAGCTGCCCCAAACTTCTCAAGTGTATGGCCAGTTCAAGGATGAGGGCAGATCTTATACTGGTGATACAACTGGAGCTTTCCATCAGAACTCAGAACCAAACTCAGAACTCCAATCAGAACCACAGCAATCTGCCAATCACAGTTCAAGCATCCAAATAGCGACATTTGTGTGTAAATTGATCAAATGTGTCTTTCTGTGGTCACTGTGGCAACTTTGAGAGATTTCCATCCATATTCAGTGTCCCTGGTTTGGCGATTGGAAACTGATGGAAAGCTTCACAATTGGCCTTAACATTTGCTGGTGTGCGGCCGCCATTAGGGACAGGTGACTCCCTGGAGGCTGCATATGATGGTGCCCCATGCCTACAAGAGCCATGCCGGGCTCCCGGGGACCAGCTCTGCTGTCATAGATTGATGTTTCCCAATACACAACCTTCAGAAAATTCCGGATCCATTCCCAACAATGGAGGAACTGAGTTTTACCATCTAGCTGAATGAGCTTCTTCCAGTACACAGACCAGTGCATACTACACCAAAGCATGCTGCCGCAATGTATGTTATGACATACTGCAATGTATGTTACTGCAATGTATGGAATGTTACCGCAATACATGTCACTGCAAAGCACGGACAGCAATGTATGTTATTCCAATGGATGTTACTGCAAAGCGTGTGGCCGTGTGTGCTTTTGTGAATGACCCCCCACACACTGATTTCCCAAAGCTCTATAATTTTGCTTTCTCTATCTGCTCACCAAGAATGAGCCTGATATTATTTACCCAAATTGAAATAAATGACAGAAATGTGACCCGACATTTCACTGACCTCAGCCGGAAGCAGTTGCTCCTCTTAGTGTAGTCTAATTCTGGGGTACAGAGCGCGCCTGTGAGGTCCAGGGGGGGCGCAGAAACCGGGCTCTGTCAGGAGACACAGAAGGCGAGTTACCATTATGCATTTCAGTTCTCTTCAGCCATCGGCAGATTTCTCCATCTAAGCACTCTATGGACATTGCTGCAAGTTGTCTCTTGACAAGTGAATCACAAGCCACAAATTGTCTCTGTGATTAGGTTTCTTGGCTGCCTTATGAGGGTCTGAAGTTCTCAAAGGAACAGCTTGCAACTTTGTACAGAGGCAGCTTAGCCATAAGCAGAAGAAACAACACAAAGCAAGAATAATAAACCCTCCACTTTACGATGGGCTTGGTTTTAAATGGGATGGATGGGTTGATTCTACAGAACCATGTACTGTAACATAAGGAAACGAGAGGAGAGAGAAAAAAAAATAGTAGGACATGAGAGAAGGAGCGTGGGACAGTGGCTGCAGAACATTGGTCCAACAGTAGGGGGTCCCATCAGGGCCACACAGTGGTCAGATTTCAGATTTTGACCAGTGTGAGAGAATAAAAAGAGGGACAGTCGTTGTTTAATGGTAAGAATTTCATGTGTGTAAGGTTATAGGAGAGGTGGTCAGTCACTTACCTTGGTGGAATGTTTGCGGTCATGGTAGAAGCAGAGGGTTCTCCTCACCAGCACAGTGTAAAACACCCCCCAGGTGCGGGAAGAGGCCTGCGGGCGGGAAGACACAGTATTACACAGAGTTCTCTTCCACGTATTGTCTCTCGGTGTGTTTTCTTTAGCAGGAGGTATTAGCTGTCGTACTTTTGTCTGAACATTGCCCCCCCCCCCCGTGTATCACTAACCTTCCTTCCCCCTGACTGCAGGATGTGCTTCTTCTCCAGGGAACCTTCCATCAGCTGATAGTCCAACTTCCGGGTCACCTTCAAAACACACAGAGAGCCTTATTAATCTTCTCCAACCACCAGAGTGGATCCACCTAAAAACATATTGTGCCATGGAAATATATCTGACGTGGGCTTTGCATTGCCCTGAAGACAGCCGAGCCATATATGCCATTAAGGACCAGCTCCTCTCCATAAATATGGGAGTCTATAAAGCACATGTGTCAAACTCAAGGCCCAGGGGCCGAATCCGGCCCAGCAGGCCATTTCCTAGACTTCTACTTTCAGATCTAGGTATTAAGTTATTACTAAAACCAGTGATAATGGAATGCAGAGGCAATTATGATAAAGATTAGATACATTTATATAGTCTTACAGATACCTTTGAGGGCAACCATAATGTTGATGCGGCCCACGATTAAATTGAGTTTGACACCCCCTGCTATAAAGGGTCACAGAGTTTGGTCAGATTATGTACCACTGCCGCATAGAGCGCCACACGACTTCATCATCCTCACCTATCCCTCACCCTTCACAACCTTAGCCAGCCTTTATTGGGTTCCTGTTACATCAGTAGTAGAGTGTTAGCCATTGATCAATCCAGAAAGTTTAAGGTTTGAGCCCCCAGTCTCTCCTGCCCCCCAACCAACCCATCCCCTTCATATCTTAGAGTTGCATTACCATTGACATATGTTGCTTTAAAGAAAACCCAATTGTTTTGAATGGGCTGACACCACAACACAGTAAAAACCGGACATGAAGCAAAGAGCGGGCCCCTCAGTGCATTGGGGTGCCATTCTGAATGAATACATAACTGTTATTATTAAAGAAACCTAATGTATTGTCTTGGACATTTAATAAATACTAAAGGGTTCATCTGATCTTTATACTTCCTGGGTTCCTATTACATACAAGTCCCATTGTGGGGCCCTGGATAGATGGGCCTGGAGCCAATGAATGTTTTGTCCCTATAAAACGGCCCTGGGATAGGAACATGAAACTCAACCTCTTGACCATTCAAGCAATGAACAATGTTCTAGTGTTTTCACATTGTCTTATGTATCTCTCATCATCTTCTCCTACGTATTCCTCTCTGGTCATGGAGCCACCCAGGATAATAAACAGAGGAGCTCCGTCATAAACACAGAGAACCCATCTCACCATGTTTATGGACGTCTCCATTCCCTCAGGCTTATTCTTCAGAGCATGGGGCTCTTGCTCTAACGTTTGCCGACTTTTGTCTCCTTGGTGACTCTCGGTGAGGTTAGCGGTAGACACCGCTATTTCTTCTTGGCCCGGGTTGCATCCTTCCCCTTGCTCCTTCTCCCTCCCTGAGCTTGAAGATAAGACCATTGAGGTGGGCAATGTAAATGTGGCCACCAACATGTTTGGCTCTGACCTCATGACTACTTGGCCACTTGGTACATTGTGATTTTGGGTCTCTCGCTTTGCTTTAGTTATTTGGTCTCCTCTGGTTGCTTTCAACGATATGACGTGAGGTTTCTGGACGGGGTTCTCTAGTTGCCCCTGCTTAGCATTATTCCAGATGTCCTCCAGCTCCTTATCATCATGTTCTAGAAACTCCTGATCAGGGTGGAGAACTTCGGGGAATGAACGAGAAGCAGCCTTAATATTACTCCTCTTTTTGGGTGGGTGGTTGGTTGAACTATAAGGCTCATTTATAGGGCTGGGTTTGGCATCATGTGATCTGATAAACTCCACATAGGAAGAATTATATTTGGAATGTTCAGGATTCATGTCATTGTCAGTGAAGGGCTTTGCACAATCTGCGGCTTTCTCAGAGATGGATGAGGCGACAGTACCAAATCCATTGTGAGGTTTGGAGAGCTGGTTGTCCTCTCTATAGCTGGATGTACCTACATTCTGCGGTTCACCCAACTTTGAGTCTGCTCTTTGTCCATCCCACTCAGATTCCAGGTGATGGAGGACGCCAATGGGTGAAAGTCTATCTATCTGGAAGCTGATAAAGTCATCACTTAGCTTTTCTAGGTCCCGTGATTGTGAACTGTCTGCCAGCTTTCCATAGCCGTGTATGTTTTGCCTGCAATATCCAGAGCTGGTTGCCAATGCTTCAATCCATGACTTTGTACACAATGACTGCAATGGATTTCGGGTTTCTTGGAGGTCATCATCCTCTTCGTTTGGCTCTGCAGGTCCTGTACTTTTCATATCATCTGTTCCTCCAGAATCATCCAAAATAGGACAGGGTCCATTGTCTTCAACAGATACAATTCGAAGGGACTCCTGAAGGTTGTCCGTCAAACGAGTTTCCTTGGAGAGATCCAGAACCAAGACAGAACCCAAGGTCAGGTGAGGACACGGGACCTGAGAGATCAGTTTGGTACAATTAGGACTTTGCACTTCAGTTTGCTTTATATCTGTCCTGGAGACAGTACATTCAGCATCAATCTCCTTCGTCAACGGGTTTTTGACATAATTTAGAAACTTGCCGAAGTCGGGTTGTGGGGTGACCCTGTCAAGTTTGGGGGGCCAGGTGGAGGTTTCATATTTGGTGCTCTCTTGGGTGTTGGGTTTCTTCTCAGAGTACAGGTCCATGATCCCTTGCACGGTACACCTTTGAGCTTTTTCTTTTCTCTTGAGGCTCCTGAAAAGTAAACTGGATCTATTCTTCGAGTCATTTGGAGATAGAAAAGTGAATTGTTCAGATGACCGATTTTTTTTTGACGGTCTCGGCAGTGTCAAGCTTTGGCATGTATCTGGTCCTTCACTGTCCTTTGCATTCAAGTACGTGCTGACCTGTGAACGGACAAAGTGATGAGTAAGACTCAGGGGAGAATGACGGATGAGGATCACTGACAGATAGTGAATCATGAGACGAGAGAGAGGGCGAGAAAGAGAGGGAGAGAGAGGAAAGGAAGGGGGAGAGAGAGAGAGCGAGAAAGAGAGGGAGAGAGAGAGGGAGGGAGAGAGAGGAAAGGAAGGGGGAGAGAGAGAGGGGAAAGGAAGGGGGAGAGAGGAGAGAGAGCGAGAGAGAGCGAGAGAGGAAAGGAAGGGGGAGAGAGGAGAGAGACCGAGAGGAGAGAGAGAGAGAGAAAGAGGAAAGGAAGGGGGAGAGAGAGAGAGAAAGAGGAAAGGAAGGGGGAGAGAGAGAGAGAAGAAAGGAAGGGGGAGAGAGAGAGAGGAAAGGAAGGGGGAGAGAAAGAGAGAGGAAAGGAAGGGGAGAGAGCGAGGAGCGAGAGAAAAGAGATGGGAGGAGAGAGAGAGTGATGGGGAGAGAGAAATGGGAGAGGGAGATGGGAAGAGAGATTGAATGAAGGAGAGAGAGAGAGGGGGGAATTAATGAATGAATAATGAAGCAGACAAGGGAGAGAGAGAATGAATGAAGAATGAAGGAGAGATAATGAATGAAGGAGAGAGAGAGAGAGGGGGGGAATTAATGAATGAATAATGAAGCAGACAGGGGAGAGAGAGAATGAATGAAGAATGAGGGAGAGAGAAAGAATGAATGAATAATGAAGCAGCGAGAGGAGAGAGGGGGAGAGAGAGAGAATGAAGAAATGAATGAAGCAGACAGAGGAGAGAGAGACATGAGACAATGGAAGGGACACGGGGAGAAGAAGAAGGGGAGGATGAGGAAAGAGGAGCTCCAGACATAGATGAGGAATTAATTTTATATAAGGGTAGTGAAGATTCCAGATCAGTAAAGGGTTAAAGCACAACTCTGGGTTAAAAGCTAAATATGCTGCTGGACCACAAATATGTCAATTTGTAATTCTGTTCAGCCAGCTTTCTGATCCAGGCACCCCTACCAGATGATGGTACAGCGAAGTCCTGGGCCTTCCTGTAGACTTTACTATTCTAGGACCCGGCCCAGCCTGTGATTAGACATTGATGGGCCAGCAGCGCACTGATAAGGTCATCTCCTGGAGTGCTGCTGGGCAGAGGTTTCCAGCAGCCAGATATCAGGTAAATATATATATATATATGTGTGGAAATATATGTTTAAACTGTATGTAAGGTCAACATTTGTATTTTTGGATGGGGCGGTGAAAGGTTAGAACCCCGGTCAGGTTTGTATTGCTGTCTGTGTCCTCGCTGGGGAGATTCACCCTCATCACCGGCCCCGGTGCCCACCGTCTCCAGTACAGAAAGGTCCCTTCGTTAAGAATTGTATGAAGCCTGAAGAAGGGACCCTATGAGTCCAAAAAGTTTGCATCCCTAATAACTTAACCCCTTTGCTACCCGGGTGCTATTGGACAGCTCAGTACACAGAGACAGTGTACCGAGCTGATCCGAGTGGCTGGGTACCATGTGATTGCTGTGGCTGATGACCAATCACAGCGATCACATGCTATTGTGTACATTGTCCCCCCTCTTCCACTTACAATGAAGGAAGGAGAGGAAACAATGGGTCAGCAGCAGCTGTTCACAACTCGGGCAGTGGATTGGTGACCCGCCATATTGTAAGCAGCCTGTGCCAAGGTCCCTCCCAGGGTAAGTGTACCCCAGGATGAGAAATGGTGCTTCGGTGTTGTCATATCAATCATTGTTTCCATCATGTCTGGTGAGGAACGCTGAGATAAGACCAGCTAGCCAAACACAGAGTTCTGAACCGATCAGAGCCGCTCAAGCTTGGACAAAGTTTATCACATTCATATCTAACAACAACAACAACAAAATTCCAACACAACACAACCGCAAATTCCATTTAATAACACACAGGGGTTTGTGTATTCATCCAGCAGAACTGCATATTAATTCATTCACTGTGAGAATGGGGCAAAATGTTCTTAGTGGAAATTATCTTCTGGTCGAATGTTCTTCATCAGGTTCATTCACATAGAACAGAGCAAATGGGGAGAATACCACATTATGGCCACTAGATGGAGCCGAGGAGCATAGTAAATATATACATATTATGGCCACTAGATGGAGCCGAGGAGCACAGGAAATATATACATATTATGGCCACTAGATGGAGCGAGGAGCATAGGAAATATATACATATTATGGCCACAAGCCGAGGAGCATAGGAAATATATACATATTATAGCCACTAGATGGAGCCGAGGAGCATAGGAAATATATACATATTATAGCCACTAGATGGAGCCGAGGAGCACAGGAAATATATACATATTATAGCCACTAGATGGAGCTGAGGAGCATAGGAAATAGATACATATTATGGCCACTAGGTGGAGCTGAGGAGCATAGGAAATATATACATATTATAGCTACTAGATGGAGTCGAGGAGCATAGGAAATATATACATATTATAGCCACTAGATGGAGCCGAGGAGCATAGGAAATATATACATATTATAGCCACTAGATGGAGCTGAGGAGCATAGGAAATAGATACATATTATGGCCACTAGGTGGAGCTGAGGAGCATAGGAAATATATACATATTATGGCCACTAGGTGGAGCTGAGGAGCACAGGAAATATATACATATTATGGCCACTAGGTGGAGCATAGGAAATATATACATATTATGGCCACTAGGTGGAGCTGAGGAGCATAGGAAATACATATTTGATAGAAAGGAGATACAAGGGGGTTATTCATAAAGTTGCAGAAGGCAGCCAAGTGAATAACCCAGCCAAAGTGAAGTGAGCCGAACGCTGTCCAGTGTTCTATCACAGATTGTGACTGCGTTAGAATGTGTGACCGGTCACGTGGTCACACATTCTAACGTAGTCACGCCCATTTTTTTCCGGGGTAAAAATGTGTGACCGGCAAAAGGTGTAGAATTCAAAGCTTTTTCTGCTGTTACCCGACAGATCGGCATCGCAGATGGTATGTGCAGGAGAACCGATGTGCCCTGGAACAGCTGATCGGTCCTGAAATGGCACTTCTATCCGACTCTGTGACTGCGATACAAAGTCGGATAGAAGTGACATTTCAGGATGAAGCCCAAAAATGGGCGTGGCTACATTAGAATGTGCGACCACGTGACCGGTCCCACATTCCACCACCGAAAAAATGGGCGTGATTACGTCACTGGTCACACATTCTAACGCAGTCACAATCTGTGACAGAACACCGGCTATTCCCTTCTGGCTTGTACGGCTGATTTCATGCTCGGCTATTTTGCTTGGTACCTCCGTGGTCGAGCAGAATAGTAAAATAGTGAAAATAGTAAAAAAAAAAAAAAGTAAAAAACCGCAAACACCTTTCTTGGCTGGGACGGTTCAAGTTATGGTTTTGGTTTTTTTTTGTTTGTGTTTTTTTTTGTTTTTTTTCTGCCGTCAAGGTGAACTTGCGGGTTTACCTCCTTGTAATGTATTTGAAAAACTCAATAAACTCAGATTGAACTAAAAAAAAAAAGTAAAAAAAAAAATTAAAAGTGTAAACAAAATAGTGAAATTAAAAAATAAAGATATTTAAAAAAAACAAACAATTGGGCAGAGCTAGCAGTGACAGCTAGCTCCGCCCAACTGTTTCCTATTGGCCGGGACCTGTTAGAGCTGACTCTGCCCAGCTGTCGTTGGGGGGGGGGGGGGGGGGGGGGGGGGTGAAAGGCCGGCCTTCGGCTGACCATTCGCCACTCACTTCGGCTTTCACTTCGGCTCAGTCGGGCTATTGTGAATATCCTGTACAGCAGCCCTTCGATCTGACTGAACCGAGGGGCTTCCGGCGGCTGAAGAGAGCCTAAGCATCAGCCAAAGCTACGACTGGATCCTTCGGCTCCTACGTGAATAACCCCCCAAAATGTCACAATTCTAGAGACCTCTGGAGGGAATGAGCATATACATGTCACCACTGATACTACGGGGAGGACGACGGTTACATTTATATGCTCATTCTCTCCATTGTTCTCTGGAATGATATCTTCCTAATAACATTATTTCCTGTGATCCTCGGCTCCACCTAGTGGCCATAATGATGTATTTTCCTCATGCGCTCTGCTCTGTATAAATGAACCTGATGAAGAACATTCGACCAGAAGAGAATTTACACTGAGAACATTCGTTTTTGCCCCATTCGCACAGCAGCCGGTTAACAGTGAACAGTGAACTGATAATGGCATTCAGTTCAGGGACGAAGTTAAAGGACAAATAATGGCATGCTGTTATGTCACGGCACACACGGCGCACTCCGGATGGCGTTACCTCCGCCGCCACGGGAAGCGATAACCTTTTCTTTCTCTTTAAGCTGTCGAACTTCCCCCCTATTATCCCCTGACAGCGCTTCCAGAAGGACAGAGGGGGTGATGGCTGGTGGGGGGGGAGCAGAAGAGAGAGAGAGAAAATTGATTAGACAGCCGGGAGGCCCCGGAGAGAGAGAGAGACTGGGGGCCCATTTACCGCCTTGCGGTGCATTCACAGGCCGTGCGTTAACGTGCGTTGCATTTGTAATGAAGATCTCCGGAAACGTTTCCACCAACGCGCAGGAAATACCCAACGTTCTACAAATCTGCCATCTTAGGCTCGGCAGCGACATATGATGACATTGTTCTTCTAGAGAGGAAGTCAGGTGAGCGCAGGAAAACGCGTCCCCTCGGCAATTCCACATCATCTAAAAGTATATCTAAAGCCCATAGCTTTGCATGGGGTGGGCCACTCCGGACCGCCAGCTGCGGTGGAACTACAAGTCCCATGAGGCATTGCAAGACACTGACAGCCACAGGCATGACTTCCGCAGACAAATGCATCATGGGATTTGTAGTTAAAGCACAGCTGGGGGGCTGGAGTTGACCGCTCCTGGGGGAGGGGGATACACGGCTCAGTTTTTTTTTTGGCTGTCTGTGGCCTGTTGGGTGAGATTTCCCTTCACTTCCTGTCCTGGAGACACAACAGGATGTAGGGGAAATCCCCTCTATTACTTTTCAGCCCAATGGGACAGGGACGGTGATCCTAATCTTCCCCTGCTACACCAAAATGATAACATTTGACTTTGGGTACACTTTAAAGTTTTGACGCTTTATTAAGTCCCTAAAAATTTCCACATTTCTTCATGGGTGTCGTTAAAATCTCTTCTCCCCCCAGAGAAATGACATGCATGGACCCCCACGGTCATCAAGCATGCTGATACTTGTAGTTCCTCTGCAGACTCAGACCTGCTCCGCCTTGCCAGCATCCAGGACAGGTTCCGTACAAGTATTGCCATTATTCTTATCCACCAATCAAAAGCCTCTTACCATAAGTGTCTCCTCCTCCTCCTCTTGCTCCTCCTCCATTCCCGTTCCCGTTGGTAATACTTTGGGCTCCAGCCACAACGGTCCAAGGGCGCACTTCCCTGGGGCGTCTTCAAGCAGCTCCGCCCCATCCTCATTGTCTGTTCCCCCCGACAACCTGAGCGGCTGCTGGAACAACATGGGGCTCAGCGCCTTCCGCCTGTACCTGCGTCGTGCGGGGCCCCTCGGGGGCGGAGCTGTGGGTGGGGTGTCTTCATCTACTGGGCACTCAAACTTGTCGGATTTGACAGGCCTGTGTGCGGGCTGCGCCTCTTCCTGCGGAACCAACAGACTTCTCTTTATTTCACAATTCTGACTGCCTGGGACTGCGCAAATGTACCAATCACAAGAACATTCTATACTATATAATACCATATATACTATGTGTACACCAGGGACATATAATACCATATACTGTATACTATGTGTACACCAGGGACATATAATACCATATATACTATGTGTACACCAGGGACATATAATACCATATATACTATGTATACACCAGTGACATATAATACCATATACTGTATACTATGTGTTATATATATATATGTATATAACAAGGACAAATACGTCATCGGCTCCCACCATGTGTACCAGACTGCAAGCTCTTCAGGTTAGGAGGCCGCTGTGTAAGTCTAATGTAAATTGTCTGTGATGCCAGTAAAGACCAATAGGATGTCAGCTTGTTTCATCTGCATTAGAATTCGTAAGATGGAATCTGATTGGTGGCTGTGAGCTAGTTCCTCTACACATAAGATAATGCAATAAAAAAACAGGGCTGTTCCTGTGACTTTGGATTGAAATAAATAAATACATAAATATTAACAAACAAAAAAATGTATAAAATAAAATAATATAAATAAAAATAATTAATTATATATATCATGAAAATAGCACTC